GTGCCAGAGGGCACACTTGAACTTAGATCTTCTGATTGGTAGTACAATACTGTCTCCATCTGAAAACTGGGTATACCCTAAGGTAGTTTTTTTTTTAATTTAAGATACCATCAAATGTAGCTATCATTTAGCTCCCTCTACCAAAGGCAGAATGCAATATAATAATATTAGTATATTCTACATTCTCGTTAGTAGGGTTTTTGTTAGGAGGAGGAAAATTCTGAATAATTATTAAGTTTAAAATGAAGAAAATTTCAAAGAAAAAAAAAGAATTTTTATGCAGAGAAGAAAAGTGTCCCTAGAACTGCTTTTAGGTAATACTTGATGTTGCTAAAACAAAGGCAGTATGGACTCCAATGGGTATGAAGAGGTCTAGGGGTTTTGGGGTGCTGGGACCCCAAGATCGTGGTACCAGGCCCTGCCTGAAAGAATTCAACTCAAATCTTCTTCAGCCAGAGGAAAAGTTTATTGGTGGTAAAACATATAGGCCAGGTGATGCCCGTAAGGACAAGAGGGCATGAGAGGTTCTCAGCCTTTAGAGCGTGAGATTCTCAGCATCTAAATGAGGGCCAAGGTGGATCTTAAATACTAAAGTAACTTTGGGTGGCCAAGAAGGGGGTTGGGTAAAGGGTGTAGGTAACAATTCTAATTGGGGAGGTCAGAGAGATTGAATAGACAATGGGAATAGATAATGGAGGAACAGGAAGGCAGAAGTTTGAAAGGCATCTGCACAAAATCAAGGTGGGGTTAGGACTTTCAAAAGGAGATAAAGGAAGTCGATAAGGAACAGTTTGAGACCAGAGAAGGCCTTTCTGGGGCCTGTAGACAAAAGGGAGCCTGAGGCTTTCAAAGGGAGATGAGGGTCTGGGGCCTGTGAGTCAGATTCCCTTTGAGGCAAAGGGTGAAGATCTTGGCTTGGGCCCCGCCCTCATCAGGTAAATACTTAAAAGGAATAAACAGTTCTCAAAAGAAGAGTTAGAAACTATTAATATGAAAGATTGCTTCAAATCAATAATGATAATAGAAGAAATGCAAGGACTTCACCTCATATGTAGAAAACAGAGATAACAAAAGATGAGAAAAATTAAGTTTGAGGGGTTATGAAAAGCCAGGCACATTAACATATGGTTGATGGAAGGCAATTTGGAATTATTAGTCATGCTTTAAAAAGGGATTAACATGTCCATACACTTTAGCAGATATCCCACTGTTAGCATATGGCCCAAAGAGGTAGAAAGATACCATTGACAATAAAATATTTATAGCAGCACTTTTTTGTGTAAGTTAATAAAGACCTGGAAAGAAAGTTTGCAGTAGATAAGCCATTATACAAACTAATTATGGTATAGGAATGAGATGCAATATTACTTTTCTAGATTATAAGCTCCTTGAGAACAGGGACTGTCTTTTGACGTTTTGTGTATCTCCAGCATTTAGTGCAATGCCTGGCATATAGCATGTGCTTAATAAATGCTTATTGATTGGTTGATAGATTATAAGAAATGATGACTGTGATTAATGTACAGAAGTATTGGAAGACAAATGAACTGTTGCAATGTGAAATAAGCAGAAGCAGGAAAACAATATACATGAAAATGAAAGCAATACAAATGGAAAGAACAATAAAAACAAAGCTATCTAAAATAAATTCTATGAAATTGTAATGATAGAGCTTAACCACAAGAAGGGGGATTTAGGAAAGTTCCTCATTTCCTTTTTGAAAAGGTAGGTGAATACAAATGTGCAACATTGTTTATAATGTCTGATTTAGTTGATATATTAGAGTTATAGAATTGTAAATTCAGAACTGAAAGAAACCTAAGGAGTTATCCAGTAAAATCCCTTCATTTTAATGAGGTTCAGCAAAATTAATATAAATTACACATTTAATGAAAATTAGCATTTCCCCCCAAAAGTAAGAGTGACATTGTTTTACATTTTTAAAATTTGTTTAATGATTGAATTAATAGAAGACAGTTGGATTTTCATATCTGCATCTACATTCAATCCATTGTGATATAATATTTTTGTTGAAGTATATAAAGAAAATCTGTCTTTACACTTAATAGGCAAACAATGCTAAGGTATCATTATGAAAATGATTTTGCCCTGATGAACTCTGCAAAAGAGTCGCAGGTACTTCTCAGTGGTCCATACATCACATTTCGAGTTTAAAGCCTGCCTTAGATATATTAGCTGTGTGATCTTGTGCAAATCATTTAATCTCTGCCTGCCTCAGTTTCCTAAACTGTAAAGCACTTAATAAATTCCAGCTTTTATTATTCATCTAATAGTGCCTATCCTCTTTGCTTCTGCCCCACCTCATTATACAAACTCTAATCTTATAGTGCCGAGGAGAATACTGGATTTGGAAGCAGGTATTTGATAGGTACCTCCAATTTATGGGTGTGTGAATGTGTGTGTGTGTGTGTGTGAATGTGTGTGTGTGTGTGTGTGTGTGTGTATGTGTGTGTATGTGTAGGTGTGTATGCTTTAGGAAAAGCTTTATAAAAACTCAATGGAAATTATTTGAATTTTCCTAAAAGTCAGTGGGTCACATGCTTGGCAGTTCACCTTATACTATGTTGGCCGTGTTCATTACATAGCTAAGAATTCCGCTATGTAACAGTCCCCACTAATTGCTTCCCTCTAGAACAAAACTAGGTATTTTTTGGATACAATTTTGGTAGCATGCTAAGTGAAAAGATACTAGGAATCCTGGAATATAGATGTAGGTAGCAAATGCAGTGGTCAGAAATTGAAAGGAATTGCCCCCATCCCAATCCAGTGGGCTCATGATCACCAGAGAATTATGATTATAATTATTGTATTAAGCAGTAAGGACAGTAGTATGATATAAACTCTATTATAACTATTACAAATATATTGTATATTATCATTAAATATTTTATTATACAAAATTAAGATATGTTGTTATGATTACAAATAACTATGTTATATTATAATTATGTATTATAGTTACATAAAAGCTAGTTGTTAGCATTTATTTAACTATCTAGGTAGCTCAGTAGGTAGAATGCTGTGCTTGAAGTCAGGAAGACCTGAGTTTAAATCTGGCCTCAGATACTCACTAACTGTGTGAGTCTGGGCAAGTCACTTAACGTCTATTTCCTTTAATCCTCTGGAGGAGGAAATGGCAAATCACTCCAGTATTTTTGCCAAGAAAGATGCCCGAAGAATATTGGTGAGCTATGGTCCACAGGGTCACAAAAAGCTGGATATCGCTTAACAACTAAAACAACAAGAACATTAATATAGCACTTAAAGTTTGCAAACCACTTTATAAATATTATCTCATTTTATCCTTAGAGCAATCCTGAGCAGTAAAATGTTGTTATCTCCATTTTACAGTCAAAGAAAACCAGGCAGACAAGGTTGTGACTTGCCCAGGCTCACACAAATAGCAAAGATTTCTGTCAGATTTGAACTTAGGTCTTCCAGACTCCAGGTCTAGTGCACTATTTGCTGTACCAGCTAGCTGCCTAGAAATAAGAAAATGTGCATGGAAGTGGGGTACTCTAGGTGTGAAAAACTGCTTACATTGGCTTACATAGGTGATGGGCTCATTTTGCTGATTGGCCTTCCCCCCCCTGCTTTTTTCTTTGTCCCAAGGAATATCTCATTGGGCATGGAGGAAAGTAGGTATCTGAAAATGAAGGTGATGTAAAAATAAAAGAAAGTTATCAAAATTAAACTTTTTTTTCTTATAAGAAGACTATGAAGGGAGGGATATAAAGTCAAATCAAAAGTGATAAGGTAAGAGAAGAGGGTGGTAAAAAGCAAACAAGAGGCCAGAAAAGTGGAAGCATATGATCAGAGAAGGGACTTTCAGAGCTGAAGATCTTACAGTTTCAGGACTGCTCAGGAAGCTAAGTGACTCCCTATTTTCTCGAGGATAAAATGCAAATTCTTTTGCTCTGCATTTAAAGCCAGTCACACTTTGACTGAAACCTACCTTTCCAGACTTACTATAAATAACTCTCTCCTCCCATGCCATCACATCAGGCCTTGCAAGCACATCCACCTTCTGTATACAACATGATTATATCTCACCCCTGGGCTTTCTCATAAGCATTCTTCTCCCTCCCTCAATCCCCAATCTTACCCTGGAACACTTTCCTTCCTTCTTCACCGCTACTTCATGGAATCCATAAATTCCTTCAAAGCTTAGTTCTGGGGTTACTATCTACACAAGACCTTTCCTGAATTTGTTGGTGCTCTCTCCTCACCTCTAATTACTCTGTACTAATTTTGTGCTAGTCTATATATATTTCTCTGAGTACCTGTGGGGGTGTGTGTGGGTGTATGTATGTGTATATGTGTGTGTGTGTGTGTGTGTATGCATATATTTGCATATGTATGTGTAGATGTGCATGTGTGTGTGTGTGTGTGTGTGTGTGTGTGTGTGTGTGTGTGTGTGTGTATAAAAGTTCATTGAGGATAAGGACTGTTTCATTTTTACCTTTGCATCATCAGTGCCTAGCACAGCATCTTTTACATAGTCTATGACAGGGATGGGAAACCTGTAGCCTGGAGGCTACATGTGACCTTCTAAGCTCTCAAGTGAGGCCCTTTGACTGAATCCAAACCACTTTCAGTCAAAGGGCTGCACTTGAGGACCTAAAGCGCCACATATGGCCTCAAGGCCTCAGATTCTCCATGCTTGCATAAATGCTTGTTGAATTGAATTAGATTGCATTTTAGGCTTTCAACATTAAAACAATAACAACAACAAAAATCCCTAAATATCAAGTATGGCATTTGATAAACTAAAGTATATTGTGGAAAAGATTTAAAATATTTAAAACTATGCATGTCAGTTCCACAACTCATGGAAATATTTAGTGATGTCAACATTCCATTAACAAATTCTAGTAAAACATTATTTTCCTATTCTGATTCAAACATAAATCCCAAACAACAAATCTTGACTAAATTTCACAGAAATAAAGTCCTTTCCTCCACACCAACCTACTCACCTCTGTCTCTTCTACTATGTCACCTCCCAGGTTTGCCTTCTGAAGTGCTTCAAAGATCCCATCACTAGATGCTCTTCTCTCCTCCAATACAGAAGCATACATGTCTTCAGAATCTGTTTCAGCTACATTGTATTGGGCTACCTCCTCCTGGCTCCACTCTGAGTCTTCTTCAGATTGTTTCAAGGAACTACTGCTGCTCTTGAGAGATATTCCTGCAGTGGAAAGGCCATGAGGTACAGACGTGAATGAGGCCTGGTGCCCTGAATATGAATGTTCATCTTGGGCCAAAGTCCCAGCCTCTAGTATGTCAGGTACAGACAGGCTCAGTCGTCTATCCAAACGACAACTTTCTCTTAAGTCCAGAGTTTTGCCTGAGTTTTTCTTCACTTTCTTCTTGCTTAAGTTGAGTAACAAGGGCCTAGTTCTCTGTTTCAACGAGCCCCAGACAGATGGTTTATCCAGATCCATGGCTGCATGAGGTGCTATGAAAAATCCTTTCTGTTGGGGAGTGCTTCAATTTAAAACAACTTCAACAAATCCTATAAAACACAACATAGGAAGAATGGTAGTTAACTTTCTAAATAGGTTGACTTTAGAGCAAAATACTTTGAGGAAAATACAATTTGTATTTCCCGATCTTCCACCAAAATGACTCAAGAATGAGAACAATTCAATTAGTAATTTTTCCCACTGGGGAAAATGCAATATTTTTTGGCTATGAGTCGAGGCCTTCAGACTTTATCACAATAGTACCAGGCAAGTAAAAGCAACATACAAAGCACGGAACACATGATCTAGATAACTATTTTCCTTCTTTTCCTCCCAAGGGAAGACATAATGACAAATTTTTCCTAGGGATTATTTACACATTTTATAGATTAAAAGAGTTTCAACTACTTTAACTGGTATGATCAGCATAGACACCTTCCCATTCCCAAAACCAAAATATTAGGGAAAAGGTATTCCCCACTGATGTCCTTAATTTTGAGGTCAACTGCCCACCCACATTAATCAGAACATCATCTCTAATACCACAGTATTCAAAATTACCAGCAAAAAAATTAAAACCATGAGAAAATCTTTAATAGAGATTGCATGACTCTGTTGCCCTGTCTGAGGGATGAACTTTCAAAATAAAAGTAAAGAGCTGAAATAGGAAAAGCAGCTAGGTGGTAGAGTGGGTAGAGTCAGGAAGACCTGAGTTCAAATCCAGCCTAAGATAATTACTAGCTTGGTGTGGGCCTGGACAAGTCACTTAACTTCTGTTTGCCTCAGTTTCCTGAATTGTAAATTGGGGATAATAATAGCATCTACCTCTCAAGGTTACTGTGAGGATCAAACGAGATAATATCTTTATAATATATATGAGATAGATATATATATATATATATATATATATATATATATATATATATATATATAATTATTCTCTGTAGGCATATATGTGCATAACATTTTCAAAACCTGTATTTGTTTAATCCTGCAGACACATAACCATTCACAAGATGCTTGACGTGTAGAATGTGCTCAAGAAACTTTATTCAGATTCAATAATATGTAATCTACCCTGTGACCCTGGGCAAGTCACTTAACTCCATTGCCTAGCCAAAAAATAAAATAAATAAATAAATAAAGAATATGCAATCTGCCCTACAGCCAAACCCATTTGATCGGTTGACAATCTCCAATTAAATGCCGAAATGGAAATCCTGAAAAATCAAAGGAGAAATTAATAACATTGAAAGTTAAAAAATTGAACATTGAGAGAAATAAATGAAAATAGGAGGTGGTTTTATTTAAAAAACTAAACCACTGGTTAATCTGATTGAAAACTAAACAAGATTAAATTAAAATTAAATTAGCAAGTATCAAATATGAAAAAAGTGACTGCATCATCAATGAAGATGAAATTAAAGCAATTATTATGAGCTATTTTGCCCCATTATGTGCAAATAAAATTGACAATATAAATGAAATAGATGAATATTTACAAAAATATAAATGGTACAGGTTAGTAGAGGAGGAAACAGAATGCTTAAATAATCCTATCTTAGAAAAAGAAGCTGAATAAGAAATAAACTCCCCAAGAAAAAGTCCCCAGAACAACATGGATTTGTAAGCAAGTTCTATCACACATTTAAAGAAAAATTAATTCTAATGCTAAATAAACTATTTTTAAAAAATAGGTAAAGAAGTCATACCAATTTTCTTCTATGACACAAATATAATTTTGATACTTAAAACAGGGAAAGCAAAAATAAACAAAGAAAACTTTAGCTCAATTTCCCCAATGAATATGTACACAAAAACTTTAAATATAATACTTGTAAGGAGGTTATAGCACTATATCCTAAAGATATACGGTATTGATCCAACAGGATTTATACCAGGAATACAAGGCTGGTTCAATATTAGAAAAAGTATCAGCATAATTAACCACATTAATAACAAAAACAACAAAAACCATATGATTTTATCAATAGATGAAGAAAAAGCTTTTGACAAAATACAACACTATGGTGAAGGGGATGGTTTCAGAAACACTAGAAAGTATTGAAATAAATGGGGAAAACTGCCTCTCAAATCTTTGGATAAGGAAAAAGTTCATATTCAAATGAGAAGAGGGGAGGATTGCAGGAGTTAAAATGTTTAACTTTGACTACATTAAATTAGTTTTTGCACAAACAAAACCAATGCAGCCAAATTAGAAGAAAAGCAGGGAGTTGGGAGTGGGGGTGCAATTTACAGCAAGTTTCCCTGGTAAAGGTCTCATTTCTCAAATATATAGGGAACTGGGTCAAATTTATAAAAATAAAAGCCATTCCCCAATTGATAAATGGTCAAATGATATAAATAGGCAGGTTTCAGAAGAATTCATATGCTACAAATAGCATACGAAAAGATGTTCTTAATCATTACTAATTAAAGAGATGCAAATTAAAAACAACTCTGAGGTACCTATCAGGTTGCCTGACATGACAGAAAAGGAAAATGATAAATGCTAGAGAGGACATAGAAAAATAGGCACTCTAAGGTACCTTCGGCAGAATTGTGAACTAGTCTAACCATTCTGGGGAAAAATTTGGAACCATGTTCAAAAGGCTATAAAACTATGCATATTCTCTGAACCAGAAATACTGCCACTAGGTCTGTATCTCAAAGAAATCAAAGAAAAAGAAAAAGGTCCTATATGAACAAAACTATTTATAGCAGTTCTGTTTATAGTGACAACAAATTGGAAGATGAAGGAATGCCCATCAACTGGGGAATGGATGAACAAGTTGTGGTCTATGACTGTGATAGAATATTATTTTACTGTATGAAATGATGAAGGGGATGGTTTCAGAAACACCTAGGAAGACTTACATGAACTGATGCAGAGTGAGCAGAACCAGGAGAACTTTATGCATAGTAACAGCCATATCGTAGCAATCGTAAACTGTGAAAAATTTAACTACTATAATCAGTGCAATGGTCCACAACAATACCAAAGGACTCATGAAGAAAAATGCTATCCACCTCCAGAGAGAGAACTGCTGAACTCTTAAGTGCAAATGGAAGCACATTTCTTCACTTTATTTTTCTTGCCTTCTTTTTTTTTTGCAACATGGCTAAAATGGACGTATGTTTTGCATGACTCCACATATATAAAGGGTACCATATTGCTTGCCTTCTCAATTGGTGGGGTAGGAGCTAGAGAAAGGGAAAGAATTTGGAATTGAACATCAAAAAATAAATGTTTAAAAAAGGGAAAATATTATAATATACAATAGGGTTATATTTTCCAGTTCTTAATTCAATATCCCTTCCACTATATAATGCTTTTTCTTGGGGTTTGAGGTCCAAGGGATAAGATGGGAATGGATCCTAGAACCTAAGGAATAAAATCAATGGTGACATTCTCTATACTAATATAAAGAAGAAGCAACAAAATAATGAATGAGATTAGATGTGATCCTCACTTAAAACTGTAATTTCAAAATGGTTCACAGTTCAGGCTCCCATATGGGAGAATCCATCCCAAAAGAATTAATGGAGACTAAGTTATAATCTTGGCAAACATAACCCATCAAAAGGTAATGTTACAGTAAAAGAAGAAGCAAAAGAAAGGAATTACTCTTTATCATACTTATTGAATGCTGTAGAAGGACTAGCAAAGAACACTGTGAATCTACATAACTTTCCCATGTCTTTTGACAAAAATATCCCTAAACTAAGGAAGTATAACTCACCAAGCTATATTAGCTACAAGTAAAGATCCTTTTGGCAACATCCAGTTTCCTTTTTCTGATATCTTGTTTTTGAAACAATTTTCTGATGTTGTTTCCTTGATCAGATTTATCATACAGAAACAGAGCATCCTGTAAACCCGGCAAGTCATAATTCTCTGGTCAGGTTTTCTAATAAATTCATAAATTCACATTCTGATTCAGAAATCTGGCTTATTAAACTCAGCCTCCAATCACCCAGGTTAAATCAAGCTATGTGAACCTGAAAGGCTGAGGTCTAGGTTATTTGATCCTTTCTCCCCACATGAATTAGCTCCCTGCAGACTGGACTCCCAGAAATTATGTCTCCAGTCCCTGAGAAAGTTAATCCACTCTGTTCTGGAACATATAGTTGTATTAGGGTACACTAGGGTAGAGTTGTCATAGTTGCTGAGTGAGTTAAACTCACCTATTTCACCTGATTTACCACACAGCAGATCATGTCTCACATCCCATTCAGCTTAGGAGAAACGGCATTTTTCATTTCCTGTTCTAGGAGCAGTAATTAAACCTATACTGACACTGGTCCTGTAAGAGGCACATCAGTCCGCTGTCCTACGGATCAACTCATGCTCCCTGACTCTGAAGAATGACATTCCCTTTTCTGGCCACCAATACCCTATATTTATTGTTTCCTTCATTGGAAAAAAAGCTTCTTGAGGGAAGTGAATATTTCATATTTGTTTTCTAATAGTTTAGAATGCACACAGAGTGAGTACTTTACAAATGGTTTTTCATCCATTCTTTCATGGTGATCTCATCGAGCCAGCCAGGAGTCCCAGCCTTAAACACCCAACTCAGCTTATTCTGTCAAAGGTTAACATTTCATTTGGTTATGAAGGGCCCTCTAGTTCTTCTTCTGGCAATTTAATTACAGTTACCTCTCCCAAATAGCTATATATCACTGAAGAGCATATTCTTCCATTTTCTCTTCTCCATTATTCATACCTTTTGCTTTCTCTCCTCAAAATGTGTTGGTCAGTCAAGGAAAACATGATCAGGATTATAGAACAAAGGTATGTTTAAGGATCAGAAAGAAAATTCTTCACCTTTCCTCATATCAAGTCATCATTAAAATTAGTTTTCTGGTCCTCAAATCCAAATGTGTCAAGTGTAATAAAAAAGTTTCTTAAACATTACATGTGCTCCAACCAAACACTCCCTGCTTATGTGACAAAGACCTAGACACAGAGGAAAATGTAATAATAAAATCCTAAAGATTCATAGGACAACAGCTGGAGGAGGACTAATTGTTGTCAATAGTTTTTCAC